AAAGGTAATAAATTAATTCTCTATTCTGTACATAGATTCTAGCTCTTCCTATATTTAGACTACTTGCTCCAGATTTTTAGTAGCCAATAGTAAATCACAAGGGTTCCATCCCTGCATGCTCTCTAATCCCACACCGTCAATGTCAGCTTTGATGTTGAGCCGATCCAGATAACATTCAGGTCAAGTCCAAGTTACAGCACATTTGTGAGCAGAGCCACGAGGATGGTGGAGACGATTATCACATGCACATTTTATTCCCAAGACATGCAAAAACAAGAATCCAATCTTGTTACCTCTTTATCTGTCAATGTCAAAAGCAGTCAGTACATCTTTTTCTTTCTTTTCTCAAGAAAATGTGAGATTTGTCACGAGCCAGATAGATAAAACAGCCCGGCTGATGTCAGATCCAAACGCTGCAGCTGGAAACCATCCTTGTAATCATGTGAAAAGGTCGTGTGCAGGCTGGTTAATGGGAAATGTTGGGAGCGCTTCAGCTGAGCTGACACCGAGCGGCGCGCCTCCCTGTGAGGGAGAGACCTTTAAAATCCAAAAGCTGGCTGTCAGAGACGCCGCAAAACACACCAGGAGAGCGGAAAATGAGATAAAATAGACGCAAACCCCTACCTGATGGCAATCACTCCTCAAAGCATGCGAGCTGACTTGGATGTAGGCGAGGAGGCGACACCACAAGCGGGTCAACGCAGCCTCTCTCCCTGCCTGCCTGCCTCCTCCACGGCATCAAGCCCCTCCTCGTTGAGCGTACAGTGTGGATAGATGGGGGTTAAAATGGGAAAGCGACCACATCTTTCTGCGACGCAAAAAGGAAAAGGCGTCACTCCCACTCGTGCATTAGTCCCGCATTTGTAAACGTGCAGAGGGTGTATTAAAAGAGTCAAAATTGGATCAGAAAACGGAACGTAACTGGTTTCTCTTGTTTTGAAAAAATGCTCTGGATTTGTGCAGTGAAGTGCGCCTTCCCAACACCTACCAAACGTGCTATGTAGAGCACCCGTCCGCATCCAATATTCATAGTCAGCAATTCAACACAAACACTTATATAGTGTATATGTTATTATATGGATGCAATTTGTCCATAGGGATTTTTATTCATTTGTGTTTATTTGTCAGTTTGTTAATTTTTTAGAAAATTTGAAAAAATAGCAAAACATTTCTTTTATTTATCATTTCAGCAGGGTTTAGTTTTTGCACATCTTAATTTCACCTCCCACTCCGAGCTGAAACAACTGTAACGCTATGCTATTTCCTGTGCACATACTGCCCCCTAAAGGAGACATAGGGATTTTACATCCGGTCTCATTCTGCGTGAATCAATGGATAATTGATCATTAGGCGTTTGCAGAACTAGATGACGTAAAAAAGAGGCAATTGAAGGGTTGACTCAGGCGTGCATGGATCAGGGAAACGTGGACACTAGTGGACCAAGATGTGCCGATGAACATGGAAATAGATCAGAAGTGTATCCATTAGTATCCATTAGTTCTAAGAACATTCAGATATACAGATGTACTATTCAACTCACCTAGTTTTACATCTCGAGGGTTTTCTCGTATTTTCTTTCCAATATGATCATTTTCAGAAATAATTATTTTCTTTTTCTCAGTCAAGTCTCAATATTCATCTGTGAATTATTCAGTCATCAAAATGTTCTGACCTCAAGAGATAAACTAGGGACGCCTCGACATAAAAGACAAGTTAGAAAATAACTAATTCTAAATTTGTGAGAAATACCAAAGAAAACAAATATGGACAGAAATATTAGAATTAAAAAGAGTTATTGTTCCTGTTCAAAGTACAGCAACAATATAGATATTAATCTATATGGAATTGAAAACACTTAGCAACAATAAGGCAGTTCCCAAAGCTTGGCACAGATGTACAACAGAAACATGACGCATCACTCAACTGCTTTCTCAGGTCTTTGCTACGTTTTCTTCAATTTTCATCATGACCTTCAGATGTTCATCTTGTTCATTTTCCTCATTTGTTCATAAGCCCATACCCAAATGCTATCAATGTTGTTGGATACAAGAACTGGAGTGAAAATGGTTTAAACGCTAATTTAAGATTAAAAGACATTCAGATTACATGCTTCAAGCAATTGGAAAGGTTGAAATACTGAAAGTGGTAGATGTCGTGAAGAACACTTTGACCTGTTCAAGCTCTATAAACTTTAAAAGATGCCACTCAATATATTAGTAATGTCACTGAGCAGCCATGAAAGGAAGTGATTTATATTTGTTTTTAATGTTTTGAATTATCTCCACAATTTACCCCAAAATTAGTTACGATTTCACAGACCACTGTGCTTCAGAGACATGCAGGTACACAAGAGCTCCTGATGAAACCTAAACAGTTGGGAAAACATTTCTAAGAAAAAACAATTTAGGACACTTTCACCGTCTGCCTCTGACATCACTCTGTCCTCTGGTGCCTGGTAACACATAGTAACCCAAACACTCCACTTGAACCTCGTCCTGCACAGAACGGAGCCTCGCTTTCTTTACCTTTCAGGCTCTTTCCAGAAAGAAGAGCCACTTGAAGCCATTTACAAAAATAGAAAGAACACTGTTTGGACAGAAGAGACCAGTTAATAAAAGCTGAGGAAAAATAAACACACACTTCCCACTTCATTTTTTCATTTATGGATTCATTTATTTACTGATTTTATTTAACTGCAAATTTTTCTGACCCACTAAAATTATTTCCTTTAAGAATTATTTCTTCACGTCATACAGCTTCTTCATTTCCATCCACAAGAGGGCAGCACTGAGATTTTTTATGGACAACAAAAGGGCAGAAAAAATAAAGTTACCATTTTCATCATGTGTTGCTGTGATATACTTATAACCTTTATTTAAACGAATTACACTCTAAAAACTGGGCACTTTATCATGACATGATTTAAAAATATACACATTAAAACTGATACGCTACAAATTACCCAACTTGGATTTTTATACTGTAGGTAACACATTAAGCCAAATTTGACCCGAGCCAATCCTGGGTCCTTTTGAAACTTAAGGTCTGGGTTACTGGTTTTCATCTAGCACATTGAGGGTATATAGACTTAAATATTGGGTGGAATAAATATAAATTCATAGAATTTGACTCATTATTGAACTGTTATCCAACCTAGAACTCAAGAGAATTAACCTCATAGTTTTTCTGTGCGAACAAACCATTCTTCAAACAAGGCATTGCAGTTAAAGCAACAATATTTAGTTTTTACCTTTAATCCTTAGAAATATCCATAAAATGCTGTTGAAAATGCATAAAATGATGTCCAGTCTTTGAAAAATATTATCAGCTTTGTAACATATAACCAGAAAAATTGGGTCTAAAGTGCATATGGCGCCAGTCTAGCGTCTTTAGACGTCATGTTTCCTTCTGGCCGGCTCTAGGCCCTGCTCCTGTCAATGACGTCATACTAAATGATTGGCAGGACATGCAACTTTATGACGTTACCATTTTCGAAAACATTTAGTCAGTAAGAAACATGAATTTAATAGCAAAACTGCTAAACTCTTTCCAAAACATATGTGAAAGAACAAAGTCAAAAAAGTCGAGCACATTTTGGCCGAGCGGCATTGCTGTAGTATGATGATGTTGTGGACAGGCGCAGGACCCCGAGCAGATCCAGAAACTACAGCACCAGAGAACTACAATTAGTATTGCATTCTCTCGATTGAATTAACTGAAGGACCATCAAAGTCTGAGGAGTCACCCCAAGGTTGCATGCTTTCTGCTCCACAGGTGACAACATTTGCCGTAATGTTTTTATAAACTAGTGACAGTCACAGTGACATGGTGTAAAACTGCCCTGTTACTGCCCCCTAGTGACAGGAAACTATACAATGCCACTTTAAAGTTTTAAAAGAGAAATCTCATTCAAAAGTCACCATTTGTATCCTTCTGTGCTGCCATGTGGGTCTCTAGCGCCCCATCCCTTTTCTCAGTGTTTAGTTTTAGGAATGATGTGACTAAAATAAGCTATTTCAAAAAATCCCAGTTTGTGATTCACAAACAGGGGAATTGCGAGTGAGAGCAGAGGCTCAACTCAGAGCCCTTCCTTGATATCAAAGCTCATGGGGTGGGGAGGGGGGGGCGTGGCCAGCTCCAGCTTGTTTTCTTAAAGGGACAGAGCCCTGAAATGACTCAGTCTGGAAGGTCCTAAAATGTCAAGAATAAAACTGATTAAATCGGTTTACGTGAGAGGGAATTTAAGCAAGGATGACCATGTTTTTTGCTGACTATAACTTCAGAAAAATTGCCGTAACATGTCCCCTTTAACATTGCATTTGACTCCAAATCTCTATGTAAAAACTAGTGAAACAAGAGATCAATGTTTTAACTGCAATGTGGCTCTTACCAACATATTTGTTACTTTTCTGACATAACGGATACGTTTATGTATTTATTTAAATTCAGCCGTGCCATGCAGGCAGAAGCTTTCACAAACTGTGTTTCTAAGTATCCACAGACATTAGTTTTTATGAGATAAATCATGCATGTGATGAAGAAAAACTACTGTGGCTTATTGGTGATGTAATGATGCAGCTGTGATGGTTTTTGCATCATTTAAAGAGTAATGGATTATAAAGTGCAGCAACATTTATAGGTGGAATACACTGTTTTCACTTCAGCCAGTGTTTAGTTTTCTTTTTCTTGCACGTTACTAGTTTTTGGTGAGATAGCGTTTAAAACTAAGTCATTGCTTTTCAGATAACCTTGTTAATGTTCCCAGGGTAAGGTGACGTATGATGTCCAATTTAAACAGAGGAAAACTAAACACGAGTGAGAAGTCTGCTGCTGGTTTTGAAACAGCTGTTTGCCTTCAGAGCCTATCTGACTGAGCAGCACAGGATCAGAGGCCGTGAGCTCTGTTGTGATCTGGATATTTCCATGGGAACCAGCGTCAGCAAAGGGCGAGGAGGAGGGTCCTGGTAGCAGCTCGGGGTGGGTGGGTGTTGGTTTTATGAGTTTCCTGCTACATTTAAAGAGTCTTCATCTCTCTAATAGCCAGAACCGCTGACCTTCCACATGAGCCTAACAACTGCAGCTGGAGTTACCGCGTCTTCAAACTTTGAAAACGTGTGGATATATTTATATCTTTACCTTACGTGGTAAGAAAACTTGATTGTCTCTTCATGTGTTTCGGCATGGTTTTAATCCAGTTTTGAGGGCAACAACTTACGTGTGATTTCTGATTTCCACAGATTTTCTTGCCTCCTACTGAAAGATCCATGTGGGTGGTGGAGAAGCTCCGTCTGTCCGTAGAGAGATCCAACTTTCCTATCCCATCAGCAGAACTCAGCTTCAAGATCAGCGACATCATGATAGGAGACAAAATGGACAAATCTAAGAGGATTTCCCTCTGTCCTAATATCATCACTCCTGATAACATCCCAGAGTTCTGCATCCCGCCAACGATTTTATCCCTGCAGGAGATGAAGAATTCAGAGCTGAAGGGAGCAGCTTGTGCTGTCAAGATGTTCCCCTGTGAGAGGGCTAAACCAGAAACAGAAGTAGCGTTTCATGAGGCACTCAACCCGCACATTATTCAGGTAGAAAGTGTGGATGAGAGCCCCTATGATGGTTGCAGCGATGAAGAGACAACCAATGCAGACCCCCAGAGCCAGGCGGCCTTATCCCTTCCTCACTTGGCCAGAGCCCAGACCAGCTATGGCTTCTGCACCTTACTCGAGAGCCCCCACACCAGGAGAAAGGAGTCCATTTTCCACTCCGATCCAGGGTCCCCTCCAGTGCTTCTGCCTAGAAGTCGATCCAGCACGTGTAGTAAACTAACCCGCCCTACCTTATCATCCTCGTCTCCCTCCTCATTCAGCCTCAACGGCCTAACCTCCAGGCTTTCCCCACGAGCCCACAACTGGCAAGCCCCTTTGGACAGCGATACGACTTCCTCCACTGAGTCCTCTCCTTTCAGCTCTCCACTGCTGTCCAGGTGTCCTGCCAAGTCTTCTCTTTTCAAAGCACTGAGCCATGAACTTCTGTTGTCAAGAAACTTCAGAAAGGCACTGGCGTCCAGGAACAATTCCCTGTCAACAGATGAGGGCAGCTCTACGGATAACAGCCCAAATATGATGAGGAGGGCATCGGAGGGGATAGCCGAAGGTCTGCCCAGCAGCTGCAGCCTGGCACCACCCAACATCTTCCCCATGGACTTAACCCTGCACAGGGAGCGGGCAATGAAGGAAAGAATGGTGCCACTGGGTAGAGACGGCAGTCTGAGACTCTCAGTTGAATACTGTCCAGACAACCAAAGACTGCGAGTTAGACTGATCAGTGCTGAAGGTCTTTATCCTCTCTCTGTTGACCCCAAGATCATCAACTGCAGCATCAGCCTCTCGCTGGTCCCAGGAAAGGTCCAGAAGCAGCGCAGCACGGTCATAAGAAAGAGTCGTAATCCAATATTTAATGAAGATTTCTTTTTTGATGGAATCTCGGAGGAAGACCTCAGCCTTAGATCGCTTCACTTTAAAGTGGTGAACAAAATGTCCTCTCTGAAACGAGACTATCTCCTTGGTGAATGTGATTTGCCCCTTTCAAGCACTGTAACACTGTAAACCTGTTATTTATTAGGTGATGTCTGTATTTAAATAGCTATTTTAAACTGTAAAGCAACATTTTGTACTTGTACTTATTAAATTATGAAAAACAAGAACTTTTGTGTTGAATCGTTCTGAAAACCACAAAAGAAAATATACAGCTATAATAAAAATAGCTTTTGAACAAATAATGTGAACACATTTAATGAACTGTTCATCCTTTGGTTCATTCATGAGGATGCATCATCAGCCAGTGTCAGACGTCCACCAGCTCATTTCCTCTAAGCCTGTTGTTTTCAGCCTGACCTTTCCGCTGATTGAAAGTATCACGAGAAACCAGAAACCTTACAGAGGAGATTCTACCCCATCAGTGTTGAGCATGCATATTTTTCTTTTGGTTCACAATGAGTTCAGATTTGATCCAGCTGTGGAACGCTGTTTTATGTCGCTGTTATCTTCAGCAACACTTTCGAAGAACATCAGTCAAATAAATTCAAAAGGGACTACAGCATAAAAAAGCCAAACCTTTAAAAACAGCATTTACTGAAGTAACATTTACCAAAGTAAACAAAGTGGCAGGCCACACATTTGAGACGAGCACATTGTGGATTGATAAAGATCAGGCCTAAAAGAATCAGCTGCAGCTTCACTACTATGAGTTAAAGATTAAAAGGCTTCCCAGGACTCAGGAAAGCTCTCAGAGATGACTGATAAATGCAGAAGAGCACCATGTTAAAACAACAAATGATGTGAAGAAAACAAAGGCAGCATTTGTTCATACATATGTTAACAGATGTGTTTTAAATGCTGGAGAGTTTAAGTTCTGAAATGCTGTGGACAGGAGCACAAGTTTGCTGTAATATTCAAATTATTTGAGCTACTTTTTATAAAAGCAGCTATTGCTGCAGCAGCGTCTAAAACGAAATAATACTATATGAGTGGATGTGATGCAAAACAAAGCGGTGCGGTGCAATACGATACAAAATAACATGATGCACCATGATACGTCACAAAAAGATATAATATAATATAATATAATATAATATAATATAATATAATATAATATAATATAATATAATATAATATAATATAATATAATATAATATAATATCATGTCATATCATATCATATCATATCATTTCATATCATATAGTATCACATCATATAATCATGTTCTATGCATTCTTAGGTAAAAAAGAATTTCAAGATAACATTGATATTTGCTAATCAGAGTATTTCCAAAACTATAAAATATTTGCTCGGTCTTTTGATATCCTCCTGGGACCCTATGTTCCCTAAAGAGTACAATCCCTTTTATAATCACAGAAGGAAATTAAATATTGTTGTAACTCATTATTCCAAGCAGTACTAATAATATGAAAATAGATAAATTAATAAAAACACTTATTAAAAAATAAAATAAAAGAAATACATAATCACATTTTTGACACTAATCATTCTTTTTTTTAAATCAATTTCAAATCAGACATGTCATTAATATTCAGGGAGACTGGCTTCTAATTGTAACTGTTATTCATTTGAAGCATATTTTTAACTATTTTTATTTTGAAATTCTAAATTCCTAAAATAAACTTTACGATGTCTATCTGGTCGTACTAATCCAAAATAGCTTAAAGGATAAAAAATTCACTCCAAAAAGAATAACGTTTTGTTATTTTATTACAAAGCAGTACTCTATAAACACGTTTCAGCAGGAACAGGATGTGTTTTCTGTTCAGGATGTACAGGATGTAATGTATCCTCTGGATGTAAATAGGGAGATGCGTCTGGGCATTTCTATATTCATTGTTGACTCACCTGTAAAAGAGCCTGCAAATGGAGTTTACTGATGACTCCTCTTTCTGGCCGAGCACTGATAGCATTTGAAGAGGTTTTCAATGATAAATCTTCAGGCAATGTATACATAATGTGTTATTCTATCTTATTTGTTCATGGTCTGAGCCATCCACAGCTAGTCCCCTATCAGTGTACGGAATAAAAACATGATAAATGGTACTTCAGGCATGGATTCAACAGAATAGGTATCACACAAAAAGGTCTGGGCAAAAACATGCTTTAAACTTTCATTCTCGTTTCTGTTTGCATTGGAATCTTTTTAGTGTTCAACAAGTTCTTTAAATGGAAAGAAAATGTTTTCCTAAGAAGATATGGAGGCTATCAGCTTCACCTGCGGTATCACACTTTTCCATGGTACAGATTCTCATGCAGGAATTTGTTCAAACCAGTTCTCTTATCTTGTTTTCCATTTTTCCAGGTTTCTATTTTGGAGTCTTCATGTACCATTTTACTCCCTTCTTACTTCCCCAGTTTGTTGCACATTTAAACGCAACAATGAAATGACCCAAATAAGGATTGTAATTAATTTTTTTTAGGTTTTATGTTAGGGTGTAATTATGGTTAATAATTTCTCATTTTTATTATCTAATCAGTGTAGATTTAAACATTAATATTAAACTTTTCTCAAATGGACCTGATTAAATCAGGTCAGATGTTCCATGATGTCAGAGTGTTGTCTCAGGGCAGTGACATCACTTTTTATTGGCCTTGCCCCCCACCCCCCTACGCTAAGCTAGCACTGTGTTCAGAACAGCTTTGTACCTGAGCCGTGGAACGAATTAGGGGGCAATCTAATAGATTTTAGCCTCATCATTACTGTGAAGCAAAAACCAGGTGGGCTGAGACCAGATGTGACTGAAACAGACACACACGTACACGCATGCAAGTGCACTCAAAATACACGCAAACACTTTAAATTAATAAAAGCAGACAATGATTTCAATATTTCTTCACGATGTTAGGATTTTGGTGTTGATATTTTTGCATGAATGAAAATCCATTCATTTCCAGCATCATTGGAATCGTTTAGTAAATTTGGGATAGCCTTTGGGGCTTGTGTGTTAATAGTTTCAAAATATTAAAATTAAACAGATTAAATGGACCTGATGGTGAGACCTAAAGTGTGTTTTCTGTAAAGTCATTTTAGACAAAAGAACAGCCTGTGGTGCATCCACACGTAGCAACCTCATCACTTAGCCTCTGCACCTGCCCTGTGTTACACCCCCCACCACATCACCTCAGGCTCTGCGTGGAGCTGAATCCAAGCATGACCTGTTATGGTGCATAACAACCAAACATTCTGCAGGTTGTTACTTCCTCACAACAGACCAGACTTTTATAAATGGGACAAAACTGTTTGCACTTGCTCACTTGCCCTGCAGAAATGCTGAGATTCCAGATGAAGCTTTTATGGGGCTCTGATCATATATGGGCACATTAAAAAAACGTAACAAATAAATTAGAGCACATTAAGCCTCAAATAACAATTAAAAAATCCAAATATATTAATTTTCAACTAAATTCAGATTCTAATTAAATATATTAAAGAAATTTAAAACATATTTAGAATTAAATGTGCATTTAATTTCTTACCAAAAAAATAATGACATATTTTCCCACTTTGCTATTTTTTATGATTTTGAGTCAAATGGTTTGCAAATTGGTGTAATTATTAATATAACTAATAGTATCAATATGTAGGTGCAATTTGTGTACAGTAGAAATGCTTTAACGTTTCCATATTATTTAGATAATTTAAAATTTTACTTGAGAAGGTTTTTCGATGTGATATTAAGTAAAAAAAATCCTATTCTAATCATGTGAACTTCCCCACAAAGAGGAACATGTCATTCAAAATATAAATTAAGCAGATTTAAACTAAACATTTAGCAAACAAGTGCATCCAGACTCCCGTTTAACTAAAGTCTACCAAAATAAAAGCAAGGTAAAAAGACCCTTTTCTGACACTGCAGAGTCCCTTTGATAAAGGTTGTGTGAGCCTGCCTTCACTGGGCTCAACATTCTTCACAGTCACAAACATTTGTAAACCACAGTTGAATTAATTAAAAACAAATATTGGTAGGGTACGTCTGAATGTGCAAGATCGGTGTTTTTTGTTTAAAAAAATAAAACAAAAAAACACAAAATCAAAATTTTGATTTAAATGCTTTAAAGTAATTTTAAATATATACATTTTTTTCTAAATTAACACATTTAACATAATATTTAGATTTGCGTTTAAGCAATAATATAGTGATTTCACAGAAAAAAATCATACTTTCTTTTTATTGTTATAAAGTGCTAAATGTGACTAAACCTACTTGATTAAATGTTAAATACAAGAACATAAAGCTTCAGGTATTTCGATGTGTAAGTTTATAATTGGCACCCCATAGATGTCAAACAGAGCTCAGGTGGTGAGGCGGAACTCAGTTGAGATCTTCACAGCAAACTAAAAGCTGTGCTAGAAAAGTCAGACCATGCTAAGATTCACAGACGATGGTTGATTATGTCAGAGATCAGGAAAAGACTCATCATTACACAATTCTGAGTGAAAGTGTGCCTGCTGTGGTCTTTTTGTTCAAAGACTCGACACGGGGCGGGGCTACACATAGAGATCTGGCTGCTGCCAGGTTACTGATTTTAGACCTCGTTAAAAATCATGACACACAAATTAAACCAAGTGTTCTTCTCACATATACTTTTAATAACAATAAAACCTGGCAATAGATAAATGGAGAGACAACACTCTTTTGCTGTCTTTTTCCTTTTAGAAGCACCTTCCACTCCCATGGCAACGAGGCTCTGCTCCGGGGGAAACCATGGAGATTCTGCCTTTCATGTGCGAGACGCTTTTATTTCGACACATAAGTTGATACAGGCTGTCCTCATCTGTTTAATTCAGAAGCACCTAAGCCTGAGTGGTGTTGCTGCTCGCATCCAAATCTGCCCATCAATGGATGTGGCGCATACGTGTGAGAGATGGGGCTAAGAACGGCTTCCTGAAAACCCCACGTCACTCCAAGACAGAAATAGATCACATTTATTTTTGTTTTAGATGCATGGAGGACATTTTAAGCAGGCTGTGGTTGGGTTTAAAATAAAGATCAAATTAGTAAAGGAAGGTACAGAGATTCCAGATGAATTATTATTTGTCATTTCAATTCATCTGGTCTTCTGACATGATCAAAATACACCCATAAAAAAATCACAGCCCTTTTACCCCCAAATAGTAACCTGTGAAAACAGTTT